TTTTGATGAAACACAAAAGAAAACAAAACTACCACAGCAATTCAGGATTTACCACTGCAAACCATGATTTAAATATCTGTAGAATCACTTGCCGTCACTTGCCATGAAAATTGTGCTTCAAAATCCATGGAAAAAAATCACAAAAATCCATTGAACCCTCCAGAATCAGCAGCATCCGCAGGCCGGGGATGCCTTAGTCATCAACAACTCTCGATGTAACCACGGCCGAACAGCCTTCGAACCTACACTGGACGGATCGGATCGATGGCTGCTGAAGACCTTCATTTCAGCAGGTGCAGATGCTGAAAACAGCTGAATTTGAGATCATATGTGCTAATGTCAAGTAAACTAACATGGAAAATCACCATGCTATTAATGGGAGAATCCACTATTTCGACTGGGCCATTTTCAATAGCTATGTTAGTTTACCAGAGGGTAATGATGAAAATGCTGATTAGTAAACCCTGGATTAATAAACCCCTAGGCTGTTTAATTGGGGGGGACACCATTTATGTATCATGTTGTGACTATTTGATCTATTTGGAGGGTACCCCCACAATTAATAAACCATGGTTTATTAATCCGGAGGTGACATTAATGATGAAAATGCTGATTTTCATGTTCCATATTATTTCATATAATTAATAGTGATGTTTCATAAATGGTGATGTGGGTAAAAGAATGATTAAAAAAGAATGATAAACCAGCCATTTGGGAATCGTTTCTATACCACCTATTTATGGTGATTTGAGGGATGGTGTGTTATTGTTTTACCCACATTGACTTTAGTTATTGTTTGATAGTATATATTTATAATATGTATATATGGGTTGCGCGCAAAAAGGGCGGTTAGGGTTTTAGTCTTCAGGAGGTCGAAATTGTTTTTTTTTGTTTTTTTAGTCTATCGTACAAGGCGGGCCCCAGCCTGAATGACGTTATTCACCAGTTTAGTACAAGTTTAGTACTACTAGTACTCCTAGTACAACTAGTACAAATAGTACTACTAGTACTACTACTTCTACTAGTACTACTAGTACTACACGTACTACTCGTACTACTCGTACTACTTTTACTACTAGTACTACTCGTACTACTCGTACTACTTTTACTACTAGTACTGCTAGTACTACTAGTACTACTACTTTTACTAATACTACTAGTACTAGTAGTACTACTAGTACTACTAGTACTACTAGTACTACTAGTACTGCTAGTACTACTAGTACTACTGGTACTACTGGTGCTACTAGTACTACTAGTACGACTAGTACTACTAGCACTACTAGCACTACTACTTCTACTAGTACTATTACTTCTACTAGTTCTATTACTTCTACTAAAGCTACTAGTACTACTAGAACCATGCCAATAATTGACATGGCCGCGCGGATTCCGCGCGCGCGGAATCCGCGCAGATGTTATAAGGTCAGAAGGACATTCTAGTTAGCTTGGAGGAGCGCAGGTGACTACTACTACTACTACTGCTACTACTAGTGCTACTACTACTACTACTACCACTACTACCACTACTTCTACTACTACTACTACTACTACTACTAGTAGCACTAGTACTAGTATTTCGGGTACCAGTAATGATATTACTTTGACGATCGCTAAAATTGTTCCTAGTTTGATTGCCCGTGCTGATTTTTTTGAAGTTGAAGAAGACTCCGGGAAAGGCCAGAAACAGGTCAGAAACAGGTCAGAAACACCAAAAAGGCAGCACTTGCCTAGCATCCATCCATCCATCCACCTCAGCTCTTATCATTGCTACTTCTACTATTACTACTACTACTACTACTATTACTACTTCTACTACTTCTACTACTACTACTATTACTACTACTACTACTACTACTATTACTACTACTACTACTACTACTAGTACTAGTACTAGTACTAGTACTAGTACTACTACTACTAGTAGCACTAGTACTAGTATTTCGGGTACTAGTAATGATATTACTTTGACGATCACTCAAATTGTTCCTAGTTTGATTGCCCGTGCTGATTTTTTTTGAAGTTGAAGAAGGCTCCGGGAAAGGTCAGAAACAGGTCAGAAACACCAAAAAAGGCAGCACTTGCCTAGCATCCATCCATCCATCCACCTCATCTCTTATCATTGCTACTTCTACTTCTACTATTACTGTTACTACTATTACTACTACTACTACTACTACAACTACTACTACCACTACTACTACTACTACTACTACTACTACTACTATATATATTTCGGAAGTAGTAGAAGTAGTAGAAGTAGTAGAAGTAGTAGAAGTAGTAGAAGTAGTAGAAGTAGTAGAAGTAGTAATAGTAATAGTAGAAGTAGAAGTAGCAATTATAAGAGATGAGGTGGATGGATGGATGGATGCTAGGCAAGTGCTGCCTTTTTTGGTGTTTCTGACCTGTTTCTGACCTTTCCCGGAGTCTTCTTCAACTTCAAAAAAATAAGCACTGGCAGTCAAACTAGGAACAATTTTAGGGAAAAGGTTTAAAAAAAGAGGACATGTGAGAAATGAATTCACCAAAAGGCGGGCCCCAGGCAGAACGCGAATTTCGACCGCTTTCGGGAACCAACATTTTGCAAACACCCCATATATACAAGTATATACATTAGTCATATATGGTGTATTTTCCATGGTTACCATGGTCGCATGTTTTTGACCGTTGCTGTTATAGGTGGATGGCAAAGGCCCGGTGAAGCAGCTCCTCTGGCAGATGCCTCGGAGTGTTTCACTAGACTCTGGTAGTCTCACCTCATTAACCATTGATGATTTATCTGGGTAATCATGGTTCATAAGGGAAATCATCCCCAAATGGCCCAACATTCAGGTTAGTGATTTTTTTTTTTTAACCCAGATTTATAGATGGCTATGGATCAATACCTATTTGTTACCATGTTTAAGGGGACGAACATCCATAAATCCCAGTTGTTTTGATGTGAACAAAAAAGGGGTACAGGATGGTACAGGGGTTTGACATGTTTTGAACCACTGCCAGATGATGATTTGGGTGGTGATGATTTGCGTTTTTGAATGATCATCAGCACCAATGGGGCATCTTTGGCCGAAACTTGGTGGTCACACGATGTCTGCACTGTCCACACTGCCGAAGCTGTTTGAAGTGAAATAGTCAGGGTAGAATCAGCCGGTCATATGTCATATGCAAGGGGAAATGGCAATTGAATGACAATTTCAGCTCGATTTTCTTTTGAAGACTTTGAAACTTCAATTCTCTCATTAAAACCATGGATACAAGTTGAGAAGTTGAGAAGAATTTCTCAGCCATACTAACCAACTGGTCAATTTGGGCCTTGTCCCTGATCCGATTTTTGTGAGCCATGTTTGGAGCTCCAGATGTGTGCTGAAAGACAGGCACTCAAAACTTCCAGAAAGAGCGACAGCCGGAAGGCTTCCACTTATAGCCGTAAAGCTCAATCTGAACAGTTCAGATTCAAAAGATCGGAATCTCAGGATTCAGATGATGAAATTTTGGCAGAGACAGCTGTAAGCGTGTTACAGAAGATCCAACAGCGCCATGCCAAGATGTTTCTATCTCGATCCTCCAGTCTGGCACGTGAAGCCCAAGAGGATCTGGTGCTTTTGTCATGCTCTTCCACTGGTCCCAAGCCAAATCCCCAAAATCCAACAACTCCCAGCTACGAAAGCGCGGACATCGAATCTGATGCAGAAGATACTCTAGATGTGGAGGATGACCATCCCCAAACCAAACCATCCCGAGAAGTTTCCAGTGGTTTTTCCGAGACGGATGCCTTAGCCCTGGAGATTTGTGCACAAGCTGAGCTGCGGTTGATTTGGGAAGACTGCAAGCATGGGCAAAAGGCCCCCGCAAGCAAACACCATGCGAGAAAACATGCGGAAAAAAATGCTTGAAAGAGTTTGACACTGACACGGAAAACCATGGAAAACATCTACCATCACATCCCAAAAGGAACATGAATGATTTGAAAATTGCACTGCAAGAACTGCGTCACTCTGCCATTGAGGTGTGGCCCAGTTTGCTGCTGAAGCCGTGACAAAAGGGGAGCGCATCGTCGTGCATCGCTTTGCCGTTGTTTTGTGCTTTGGGGATCCAACATATCCAACGTTTTCCTCGTTTGGAGGTAGACAACTTTGAGCGCACTCGACAAGAGGTGACTGAAGAGTGGGTCAGTGCTGTTGGATTTTCATGGTGTGTCTGAAAATAGGGTATATCCCCAATGAAATAGCCATTTAATAGGGATAATGATCAGCAAAACCATTGGGTTGATTGGGGTACACAACATTTTCAGACACACCCAGTACTGGCTATAACTTTGGGGCCCTCCACATCGCTCCACATCGGCGCACGAAAGAATCACTGGTCCTGACAGGCTCCAAGGAAAGAACGTGCGCCGTGACACTGGCCTGTTTTAGCACAGGCCGCTGACGAAACGAAAGCCCTGCATCGGATTTCAGGCGAAGATCTGAACGTCCTGTTGCTCGTGGCCATAGCCTTGAACACTCCGATACGGTTCAAAAATGTTCAGAAAACTGTCATGTGGCCATGTGTGTTAAATCAGATCAAAGAGAACTCAGGGAGTTACCCTCTGGTGAACTAACATAGCTATTGAAAATTGCCCAGTCGAAATAGTGGATTTACCCATCAGAAATAGTGATTTTCCAGTTCGCAAACTGTAAACGTTTACCAGAGGGTAAATAGTGTCATCTTCAACATTCGTTTGAGCTCCTCTGAGTCGGTCGGCTTTAAAAACGGCCTTTGCTTCATATATTCCGACTCAGTTTTTCTTTTTAAATTCCTGGTTCTCCAAAATATCACTTGCATCGTTTTGCAGAAATGTTCAATATGTGATTTCCACACCCAACTGCAGGTAAAGAGGAGGGCAGCACGGGCCCCGGAAACATGCTGCAACAAATCCGTGGCGTCTGAAGTGTCCATTTTGCCTGTCCGACCAGGTGTTCCGAAAGCGCAAAAAGACGAGCATCAAACTCCCTTCATGTGGGGCTCCAAATGTGTTTTTTTCATGTTTTTCCCATGGTTTGTTCCAGAATCCTGTCTATATGCGTTAGAAGAGTACCAACCCCCAAAATTTGGATTGTTGGGATTGTTTCTCGTTATCATCATTGTCCCAATGTAAAACTCTAAAATGACCATAGATTATCATAGATTGATATATTTTAACTGGCCATATTTTTTTCGGTATCCGAATCCATTCTGAGACGTTTAGCCATGCAGTCAAGGACCTACATGGCTGCTCTGCGCGATTCACATGGTGAGTTGGAAGATGCTAAAGAGAAGCCTGAAAGGACTGGGGAAGCCATGAATCATATGAATCCTGTTTTTTGGACTGGGTTTTTGGCCTCAATAGTTTAATGGATATCATTTGATATCATGGATATCTGATATCATGGATATGTATATATTATAGTATATATTATAGTATACATAATATATTATGGGGATTGTGGAAATTTCTGGAATATGTCCATGGGAAATGTTATGGAGTATCTGTGGTGTTTTTTTTAATTGTGGGGAGATGTTTGCCTGGATGTGTAACAGCCAACTTGATATATCTTGATATGGTATTTGGGTGTGTCTGAAACCAGAGGATTCATCCCTAGATTTGGGGCCATGATTCAAATTACCCGGCCTGGTAAACATACAAAAAACTATGGAAAATCACTATTTTTAATGGGTAAATCCACTATAATTAAATGGCAATTTTCAATAGCAACCTGTTAAATGACCAGAGGGTAAGCAATGTATGTTCGAGGTTGATCCTATTTGAGGGGTTAGATCCTTCGCTCCTGTCAGACAGGAAAAGACACGGTGGTGACAACAACATGAAGACGCTGAGGGCAGTCTGCGGGGACAGGCCCCGGCAAGATCCGGCAAGGATTTGTGATCAAATCTGTCAGCAATCATGTGCAAGAGATTTAGGGGCTTCTAACCCAACCAATAATAGGGATATCATGGGAGATCATGTGATATAATGGGATATTAATGCCCACCAATAACTGGATTTTAAAATTTTAGGTGTGTCTGAAAATGGGGACTGAGCCCCCAATACTACGGCCATGGCGGCCATTTGACTTGGGTGTCATCCCAACATTTTCAGACAAGCCCATATACAGGGCTAGACCACTGTCGGCATTTCTTACATGACTGGATGACTGGTGGTTCAATGTTTCTTCAACTAAATTCCCAGCGAAACTTGGGTACTGATTGATTGAGATGACAAATATCAACCTTTTAGAATCTTTTGGATAGGTCAAAAAATGTCAAACACATCAGCAACCAGATGACTATATCCATATCTATATTTATATCTATAGGTATTATCTATTCACTATGGATTCTCCATATCTATTCACCCCAGATTCGAGGTCTTGCCAACTGTCAGGCCGGCGCTCGCAACCAGTCATAGCCTACCAGCTCTCCCCAAGGGAAGGTCCATCTACCAGGTGCAGCGGTGGGAATTTGATCAGTGATTTCTCCCTTCCAACGGAAAATCAATGGATTCGTTTAAGGGAAAATCTTAACCGGAAACCATCGATTTTCCCATGAAGATCATGGGGTTTTCCTGAAATTTTTCCCCAACAAACCAATCCATTGAGAAAATCATGGGAACATCTCAAAATGATTCTGGGTGAAAGATTCAGTGAGTGGATCTAGTGGATCCTGAAATGATGATCAAAATGATCAAATCATATCAAATCATGTGATATGTGTTTTTTGATGTTTTGATTCCACCTGGATTTCTGGATTTCTGGTGGTTTTTGTTGGGTTCATCAATCCCCAGTCAATCCCTGAAGCCCAGAGTCTGACCGCAGAGGTTGAGGATGGAGCGAGCCCCAACAAGGCACAAACATCGCTGGGGTTTTTGGCATCGCGGGGCCTGGTCTTTGAGATCTCCTAAAGATTGGATGAACCACTGGATGTGGAGTCTAAACTTTAGGAAAATGATGATAGATTGGATTGTCATGTGTTTTTGTTGCCATGATTTTACATATATAAAAACCATGGGAAATTCGGAAACCGAACAGGTTAAAACACCATCAACAAATAGGAAAATGATGTTTTTCACCATTGGATTTTAGGGGTACCCTATGTTTTGCACAAGCTGATTTGATGCTCTCTGAACTGTTTTTCAAGGCCGCAATGTTCTCGAGTTTCTCGTGATCGCTGTCCAGACTGTCTGCCGGAAATGATTGTTGGAAATGAACAAATCAACAACAAAATGATTGTTGGAAATGATGAAACACTTTTTCAACTTTGCGTTGATCAAATTCGGCAAGCTGAACCCGTTTGGTCCTCGCTTGCTGTTTCACACTCCCGCCAAAGTGTTAGACTGCGTTTACCTCTCCAAGGGAGGTGAATGCAAAGTGTTCTCAATGAAAAAAGGTGGCATCAGATGCATCATGGTCAATGGTGCATTGACAAATTGACATCATTGATATCTATGTATTTTTTGGACAAACTGCAAAAGTATAATAGAATATAATAGATATTATCATTTGTTTGGTTTTTTCGTTGTCTTGAACGGAACGGAAGGAGCACTTGGAATTCCGGAATTTTTGCCAGACTATCCTCTGGGAATCTAACACCGCGATTGGAAATCCACTAAATGGATATGTTAGTGGGAGCATCATCGTAAAATATCGTAAATGATGTAAATGTGCCATTAATGGCAATTTTTTGTCCGCAAACATGGTAAATTGCCACAGCCTATCCAAAAGCTAGACTTAAAAAGTCCATTCCTAACTCGTAATTGATATCAATGCCAATTCTCTATTTTTTCACGAAACAATCTCATAAATTGATCATTTCTGAATATGATCAATGGCAATTCTCGATATTTTTTCCAACAAAAAGTTGGGAAAATCATAAAATCCCCCAATTTTCACTCAGAAAATCCATGAAAATCCCATGTCTCGTTGTGGCTCAGTGCCAGAGACGGACCGACCGCTCCGGGGTGGCGGCTCGCGGGGTAAACCAAGGGCGCCTGGATGATGGCCCGCTCGGGGAGGCAGCAGTTGCTATGGGAGAATGTGTTTTTTAATGTGTTTTAATGGGATGTACAGTATAACATGATTAACATGGATGCATAATGATGCATAATCATCATTAACACCGTTTTTTCCAGCTATTATTGGGGTAATGCGGTTAAAACAATGTCATAAACTACCCTAATTTGGGAATGGTTTCAACACACCACCTATAAACATGGTGATGACTGGGGGATGGTGCAAATGGCATTGTTTTAACCACATGAATGTGTTCTTTATGGGATGTATAAGATGGGATAAGATGAGACAACTAGCAGTAACTTGGGATATTGGGATGTTGGGATGTAGAAAGATATGTATAGTACCAAGAATTGCTGATGGTAATGATGTTGTAATGATATTTGAGAAGCAAACGACTGCTGATTCTACACAGGCGCACCTTGCTTGCAGAGCTGCTTCTGGTGGCGGCACTGTCACTCTGGCCCGTCTTTGTCGTTCACCTTCGCTCATGGGGGGTAATCCCCAACTTCAGCAGCCTGTTTAATCATTAAACACCAGAAGGTGGGTGAGAACCATCCAAATAACATTGATTATTCATATTCATTATATATTCATCATATATTCATTATATATTCACTACTGTAATCCCAACTTTAGTAATCATCCAATCTAGTTAAGCCCTGTAACAATGAGTTGATGAATCACCAAATCCCAATGTGGATTTGGTTCCCCCCTGCGGCACCATGACACCAAACTGCCAGTGCCTGCATATGGCACGATGCGTTCGTGGCACCAAAGATTCCAAATTTGGAGCGGCCAGAACGACTGAAGCTCAGGGAAATGTCATGTTCGAGTCATTGCAGTTGTGAGAAGAACCTTTGTCACAATATTTTCCTAGGTATTTGTAGATGATGATTATCGCATGATGAATTATCACATGATGAATTATCACATGTCACTCACATATTATCATAACATATTCTCACTTGGCCCCTTTAGGCAGTTGCTAACAGGTCGAGGGTCAAGGTATGGGCAGCGACCAGCAATCATCAGCGGCTTCAGGTCATCTGCGGACAGCTCGATTTGCAGAGAGTGCAGCTGAGGCACCGGGTGTTGATCGGACAATGGAGCTACCCCAAGAGCTGGTTGGTTTATGGAAAATCCCAAAAATGGATGATGTATAATGGTCCCCCCATGACTTAGGAAACCACGGGAATGTGAAAATGGATGAAAAATGGATGGACATGGATGAACATGGACCTCCAAGTTAAGGCCATTGAGTAGGAATGATTTTTTATCGCCATGGATTTATCCCAAGATGGGCCCAATTTTTTCCATAGAACCCCCCGAGGATTCCGTGGAAATCTCTGGGTTTTCGGGCTTCATCGTGGGCCTTGCCTTCCTGCCGTACACCTTCTACGCCCTGCTGACGGCTTTCAACGTTGTGAGGCTTTCAAGGGCGGAAAAAGCTGGGAAAAAGCTGGGAAAATACGGTCAAACCCAGATTGATAAAGCCTGGGTGAACTGCATTTTACAATATTTTACATATTTTACTATTTCAAAATCATGGGGCTATTATTAAGATGAATCATTAAATCATTACCATGTAGCGATGTAGGGATTATTTGGTGGAATACCAACCAGATGGTGAACATGCGCTATTTGAGTTGGTCCAAAGATGTGGTATTTATCATACAAAACTGTGAGTGGCGCACTGTATTACAACATATATTTGACATGCCCTTTTAAGATACTTTAAGATGACAAAAAAGAGAAGTGTCACAGTGTCACAGCAGAAAAATCTAGAATCTACAGTTCACATGATTAAATTTGACCAAAACGATAGTTTAAATACTATAACAATCATAACAGGCAGCCGTCCAACATGCCATTTGTTGGGTCAACGGTCAACGTTTCCAGGGGCGATAGCTTCGAGTTTGGTCCCTATGGGCTTGAACTCATCTCCTGCTTGGTTACCATTGGCTTGGTCCTCGAATGATCTCGGTGAACTCGGTGATGCCATGAAGTTCGCTAGGATATATCATTGGATTGGTTTAAGGGAAATTTTACAGGAAACCATTTTGTTTTTACCATTAAATATTGGGTTTTCCTGTAAATTTTCCCCTAAACCAATCCATTGAATATAGGAAGATATGGATTAATATGGGATAATCAATGATAATCAATGATAATCAATGATAATCAATGATAATCAATGGGATAATCAATGATATATTAATATGGGATAATCAAAGATAATCATGGGTTTACCACATGAGTGCTATTGCTATGAAGCCCTTTCTGGGTTTGATTATCATCAGGTTCCCATTTGGCCATATTTGGCCATCGCCATTTTGGGGGTATACAGACACCTTCAGACATACCCACATTAACAATAAATGGCGATCCTTTTCCATTGCCAAATTGAGCTGGCAGCCAGGCTTTTTGTTTGCCTGTTTACCAGATGATGTTGCTACATTTCCTCAATTTTTGGGACTTGTTCCACGTTTTCCATTTTTTCTGCCAAAGTTCATCCCCGATTCCGAAAAACTACGGTTTTTCCCCAAAAACAAAAAGCTTGAGACATGCCATCATCATCAAAATCTTCCATGAAAATTTCCCCATCATTTTCCCATGACTTTCCCATGACTTTCCCATCATTTTCCCGTATTATCCATATTTTCCCATGATTTTCCCATGATTTTTGTCCCATCTCAGCCCATCTCCTGGCTGAGGCCTGGTTTTGTGGTCCCTGGGCAGTTTCCTGCAGCGCGGTCGGGGGCTGCCCGCCGGGCCACTGGGCTTGCTGGGCCTGTCCGAGGGCCTGTCATACCTGGCGGTACCTTGGCGTGGTTGGAAACCATGATGGTCATGGCATACTACATGTATACCCTCTGGTAATTTAACATAGCTATTGAAAATGGCTATTTATAGTGGATTTTCCATAGTTATGTTAGTTTACCAGAGGGTAATAATGATGATAATAATACCTATAGCATTTACCCAGTAAACATGGTGATTTTTCATAGCTATGTGAGTTTACCAGAGGCTATACCCTCTGGTAAACATACAAAAAACGATGGAAAATCACCATGCTATTAATGGGAAATTCCACTATTTCTATGGCCATTTTCAATAGCTATTTTGACATAACCAGAGGGTAGTAATAATAATGATAATAATACATTCTAGCATGATAATTACTTTGATAATAGTTAATAATATTGATATTAATACTTATTATCATTATGACAATAATAATAATAATCATCATAATAATAATAATCATCATCATCATAGTGATAGATATGTATTGATTACACATGGATATATATATATATACTTGTTTGGATGATATATGGATGATATATGGATGATACATGGATTATATATGGATATTATATATATATATGTGGATAATCGATACTATATATAGAAACTGTAGTATATGTAGATTGTAGTGAAATTGTTTATAGATTATAGTGAACTATATATAGAACCATCGTATGCCATGTGCAATCACAGACTATAGTGGACTAATGGTATACAATATTTAGATACACATAACTATGGTGGATTTAATTCATGGCCAATGTTTTTTGATTATATAAGACTGTTACCCTCTGGTAATCAAACATGGCTGGTTGGAAAATCCTTTATAAATGTGTTTTAAATCCAAAAAATCATCTATAAATAGGTGATTATGACTTTCCACCCCCAAAAAATGTCACAGTGCCAACACCTAGATTCTTTTCGAAATTTAAGATCTGATTTTCAGAATTTTGCTGATCCCCCTGAAGGTCTACTAAGTGATATGTGTCCATAGTTTTGCCATGTTTTTCCATGGTTTTTCCAGATCTACCCATCAATTCATGTCCGTTTCTCCCCAAGGCGTTGGGCCTGGCCTTGGCCACAATAGCGGCCGGCGTTCGCTCAGGACGAATCCCTTCAGGAGGAAACTCCCATAGAAATAGTGGATTTACCCATTGAAATTGGTGATGTTCCATAGTTTTTTGGGATTGTTTACCAGAGGATATTCCCAACGAATTTGGCCCATAGAAATAGTTGATTTACCTATGAAAAATGGTGATTTTCCAGTTCGCAAACTGTTAATTTACCCGAGTGCATTCCCAAAAACACCAATCAGAGGTCGAACATTGTTGAACCGCTGTTGCCCGAAAATGGTTCACGCACTGAACGAATATGTTTTTCATATTTTGTCGGACTAAACATTGCCATATTGCAGGAGACGGTTTATGTTAACCATCCATTACAAACTCATTTTCACAATTTTAACCATCATATTCCCCACAGAATTTTGCCGTCAACATCCCAGAATTCCAGATCCTTTGTCCTAAAAATTACTTTACTTCGAGTCATCCCCACCATGACTTTTATACGTTTTGTTTCTGGCAAATCTTCTGGCATTCTATCTGGCATATCTTCTGGCATTCGATCTGGCATTCTATCTGGCATATCTTCTGGCATTCTATCTGGCATATGTTCTGGCATATCTTCTGGCATTCTATCTGGCATATCTTCTGGCATATCTTCTGACATCCTATCTGGCATTCTATCTGGCAAATCTTCCGGCATTCTATCTGGCAAACATTCTGGCACTTTATCTGGCATACCTTCTGGCATATCTTCTGACATCCTATCTGGCATCCTACCTGGCATATCTTCTGGCATTCTATCTGACATTCTATCTGGCATACCTTCTGGCATTCTATCTGGCATATCTTCTGGCATTTTATCTGGCATATCTTCTGGCATTCTATCTGACATTCTATCTGGCGTTCTATCTGGCATATCTTCTGGCATTCTATCTGTTCGTTGAGGCCCAGCGGTGCCCACTGAGCTCGGAAGGTCCCAGGTTGAGGTCCAGCGGTGCCCACTGCGCTCAGACCCTTGCAGTTGAGGCCCAGCCGTGCCCACTCAGATCGGAAGCTGGCAGTTGAGGTCCAGCAGTGCCCACTGCGCGCGGAAGTTGGCGAAGAGATTGGCGACAAGTTGGCAAGGCGGAAGTGGACGTGGAAGTTGATGCAGACATGGTCGAGGAGAAACTGGAGGAAGAGGAGGAGGCGGAGGAGGAGGAGAAGGATGATGAGGAGAACAGCCCTGATAAAATCTAACAACCCTCACCTGGCAGGTGGGGAACAAACCGTGGAAACCGAAAAGTCGCTGATTTTTTCACAATGAAATCATCAAATTTCATCAAGGGATGACGGAAAGTGGTGAGAAATTCTCAGCTGTCCAGGACCCTCCCTGAACATCAGCTTGCCACCTGCTCCCCAGATCAGCATGCCTTCCATGCCTGAAGGGTTGAGCAGCGGTTCTCTGAAGGCATGGCCAACCCGTATCAACCCGTTCAGTGGGGGTTTGATGTGGGGTTGATGGGTTGATGTAGGTGCCAAACGTCAAGCTGCCCGACTTCAAGGTGACTTGCGAAGCCGAAGATGTGAGACCAGAATTTGGATTGCTGTACAGTTCAAGCAGAAATAATACAACTGTGTTGGGGTGATGGAGTCTTTTTTGTGGAATGTTTTGCAGGTGCCTGACGTGAAGGTTCCTGACATCAAGGTTCCTGACATTAAGGCAGAGTCTCGGAGACGACATTGGCATCTGATACTGACCAGAACAGACCCAGAAGACTGTCTGTGAACTTCTGTGATCTGTTGTGGATTTCAAGGTTCCTGACATTAAAGTGCCAGAAGTCAAAGTGCCAGCCTTCAAAGCTCCAGATATCAAGATTCCGGAGGCACGGATGTCTTGGTGATCACGATTCAAACAGCTCCCCACAGTCAAGCTGTACAACATGTTGAGGATCTCTCGATTGATCTTTCCTAGATCAAATCATCCATGTATTTCACAGGTAACAACAAACATAGCCAAAGTTACGCATGGCTTTGACAAATGGGGTACCCTATTCCAATCACATTTGTTCATCAGCATTTGTTCGATGATTCGATGGTAAAACCTGATGCTGTTTTGCGCAGGTGAAGATTCCAACGCCTTCAAAGCCTGAAGCAAAACCCGAGGAAGAGAAAAAAGAGGCATCACTTGATGTTGATCAATTTTGTCATTGCAGTGTATACATTTACATAGAGCAGTTTCAAAACCCCAGTGGTTGATGATCATTTCAGGGCTTCGACAGAACTGGGAATCTCATGGAATCCCCATCATATCTCATCATTCTAATGGGAGAAATTTCCAATGGATTTGCAACCGGAGAAGGTCCAGAAGGTCCAGGTACACTTCCACAACCCAGTGGCTTATAAGGCACCACCTGCGCCAAAGAAGCCAGAGGCCACGGATTTTTCCAGTTGGGATTTGACTGGCCAAGGCCGATGGGGCTGTGAATAGCTGTGTGGCCACTGCTCCGGGCCAGGTTAAAAGTTCAAAGACAGAAACCGCTGACTTCTCGTCCCTCTTTGACTAAGAGGGCTCTCCGGGCTCTCCCTTTGGTGACAGTCCTGAAATTGTACTTAGCCACAAACTCAAACTGGGCCAAAGAAAATCCTGAACAAAAGTATAAGATCAGATGCTCTGAGACTCTACTCTGTTCAACTGCGTTTGCGCATGGTTTTTGATTCATGCCCTTCCTGTTCTTTTTGACAGGTCCAGTCTGATATAAGTTTCAGATAACATAGCCATTTTCTGGGGAGTCGGCGCAGGGTGGTGACCAGCCAGCTGGCTCCAAATTGCTGCCGTACCAGTTTTTGGATTTTCCGTGGAGAGCGACGAACGTCATAAAAAGCAAATGCAGCTGATGCTTTTGTTCGAAGTCAGGGCAGTTGCAACTACTCACAAAGCATTACAGGTGTCTTCTGGTGACTTTGCTGCTTCTGTGCCTGCTTTTGATCGAAAGTCCAGCGGGAAACGCCACTGCAAGTCTACCAGACAAAAATTCTTGGCCTTCAACCAGGATGATGAATACTTCAAAATTCTTTGGAGCTGCATCCAGTGTTGCAGGGTTTTGGTGATTCTAATAGAAGGTATCCCATCCCAAAATTCATCCAGGTCCCCAATCCAAACTCGTTCCGGCACCGTGCAATGGCCTGGTGCTCGCCCGGCTATTGCCGTCACTGTGGCAGCAAGGTCGCTGCAGTCGACGGTTTTGGGTGGCGCCGCCGACGCCGTGAAAGGAGGTGTTTCAACCCTGCGGCTACGGCAGCCACGTCGCTTGACACAGACTGCGTCTGAATTATTGATGTACAGTCTATATACCAGTAGTACCTCACAAGGCGGTGGCGGAAGTTTCAAAAATAGGAAACCTATAGAAGAGGTTTGGTTGTTGTGACGCTTGACTGACAGAGCGAACCCATTGATGGACCGAAAGGTGGTTGGAGTTGTGTTTTTTGGAGTGGTTGCAGTGGTCACCTCACCCACAACTGCTGGATGTAGTGCCGTGCAGTGTAGTTCTAGTTGTAGTTGTAGTTGCCGGCGCAGTTGTAGTTGTAGTCGCAGTTGTAGTTGTTGTACAGTTGTAGTTGTAGTACTGTAGTACTGTAGTACTGTATTACTGTAGTACTGTAGTACTGTAGTACTGTAGTACTGTAGCACTGTAGTGGTAGTTGCGGTTGTAGTTGTAGTAGTGGTAGTACTTGTAATTGTCTTTAGTTGTAGGTGTAGCTGTAGTGTAGCTGTAGTGTAGCACTGGTAGTGCTAGTAGTATTCGTAGTACCAGTGCTAGTAGTATTCGTAGTACCAGTACTAGTTGTACTAGTAGTTCTAGTAGTACTAGTAGCACTACTAGTACTAGTAGTACTAGTAGTACTAGTAGTACACTACCACTAGTAATACTACTAGTACCAGTAAGTACTAGTGGCACTAGTAACACTAGTAGTACTAGTAGCACTAGTAGTACAAGTAGTACTAGTAGTACTAGTAGTACTAGCAGTAGTAGTAGAAGTAGCAGTAGTAGTAGAAGTAGTAGTAGTAGTACTAGTACTAGTACTAGTACTAGTACTAGTAGTACTAGTAGTACTAGTAGTACTACTACTACTTGTTGTTGTTGTTGTTGTTGCTGTAGTTGTAGTGTAGCGTAGTGTAGTGTAATTAGTGTAGTGTAATTAGTGTAGTGTAATATAGCGTACTATATATGCATTTGTAGTTGTAGTAGCAGTGTAGTGTAGTGGCAGTTGTAGTTGTCTATCTGTCTGTCTGTCTGTCTGTCTGTCCGCCTGTCTGTCTGTCTGTCTGTCTTTCTGCAAGCGTGGAAACGAAGCTATTCTGCCAGACGTCCTCAGGTTTTTTAACCTGACAACGTCAAAATCAAAACAAGTCTGCGGGACTTCCTCAATTTTGGAAGTTGACAACATAAAAAACGATCGTGCGAATGCGTTTTGCAATTTTTGCATTCCATGTCTCTAAAGTATTGCGCCTGCCACGAAAGAGGGATGCCAGGTCATACGAAGCCCTGCACCTGTCACACAATATCATCTTCCCAAAACTGATGCTCCAAAATGCAACCTCTCTCAGGAAATAAGCGCCCTGACCTCCGAACATCTCTCATGAACATGTCTCTTGCACTGCGCCTGCCACGGAAAATGCATCTTTGCAAATCTTCTTCAAATGTCGCACGCCTGCCATAGTTTTTGGAATTAGCCACAAAACCCTCACATTTTGCTCACCTTCGGCAAGGTGCAGAATCCCTTGCGCCTGGCACGCGAAACGACATGTGAACGTCCAAAAGTGGCCCGAGACCGTCAGTTTTTAACACTTTAGTTTTCGAAACGTGCTTCGCGCCACAACGGCGTGCATTTTTTGCCACATCACAACTGCCAAAAGTGCTCCGGACGTGAGGTGTTTTTAGCTTTTCCACGCTTCGCGCCACAACGGCGTGCAATTTTTCGTCTCTTATTTGGCCAGATGGCTGCGCACCCACCGCTTTAGCGAGCCTACTTTTCGACCCTCCGGAGCCACAAATCATTGGAAAAACACTACCTTTTCGCGCGCTTGCATCTTCTTTCTTCTCACTCTTCCCCTTCTCTGATCTTCTCTCTTCTTCTCTTCCTTCTTTGACTCTTCCCACCTCTGCTTTTCCATCTGTCCATATTGTCGGAAGTTTGGTTTCTGAACTTCCTTCGACAATGAAACAACACATATAACTATAAACACATATATTTTTTGAACGCTGTGAAGCCATGAAGCTTTGGTTCTGGGTTGGTTGATGTTGGTCACTGTTGGGTATGTGCAACATTTTCAAAGGATTGGAAGAGAGAGCTCTAGAGCTGCAAACTTGCCAGGTTTTGACTCTTGGGGATGCTCCTTGAGACATTTTGAGATTCATTTTGAAAAATTAAGCTGTGACCACAAGGTCAGAAACGCCTACACTTCAGTGCTTGTCCATAGCAGATGACGATGAAACCCAGGCCGGCTGAGCCAGTTGTGCTGTCGGCTTTCGGAAGAATCATTTCCATTCATGAACTGTCGCATTTTCTTGAAATTTGCTGCTGCACTGCAGCACATGTCGAATTTGAGTATCAGGATGTGTGTTTCGATGATGGCTACTATGCCTGGTTTGAAGGATCAGATTCGTTGGAGGACATGAATCTTTGTGTCACTGGGGTGGGTTATAAGTACAATATATATATATATTCAATATATGATGATACATCTTCTCCAGCTGGTGACTCTTACTTGGCATTTCCAGGATTCGAAGTGCCAAGCCTCCCATCAGGCGAGACATGGTGCAGACGTTGGCAACAGAAGACAAGACAAAAACAATCAAAAACACATGCTGTCAGGTGCCACATGGTATCACTGGTATCTCATTTGAAAGTCGTTTGCTTTTTGGGCGCAGTTGCAGGACCCTCGAGACCTTGACCACGACGGACGCGGCGCTATCGGCGCTTTCAGTCGTGTCAGTGTTAGGTCCACATTTTTCGACTTACTTGATGTGTCTTGGCATATCCCTGGCATTTGCTGCCATTTTGTGATGCTTTGCTATTTTGTTGTATGTTTTCAAAGAAACTTCTGCGAGTTTTGCGACCGGACCCGGCTCAGGCGAGAAGCATCTTGACCTTCTGTTGCATTTATCGTGGGGCCTACCAGCCCAAGGCCAGACCTTTTTGAGCCTTCTTTGCCAGCTGCCCTTGGATCTTGGACAATTGCGACTCACATGACTATGATGACCTGGAAAGAAACATAGCTTCCCAAGTTGGTCCGGACCTGCATAGGCGCTTGCCCTGCATTTGGTGGAGAAAGCAGAAGAAGTTCGGCTTGAGAGGTTCTCCCGCCTGGGGCCATCTGTTTTTTATGAAACCAGGTGCTTTCATGCTGTTTCACGTCTCATTGCACCCCGGTTCAGGTACCAAACTCTTGCTGCCTTCCGGAGAGGTGTTGATCCAAGTTCCAACAGTTTCGAGCTGTTGCGCGAGCAAAGAGATTGCACCCTGGCTTTGATGTATATCGTCCTCATATTATGTCGTTGGTGTGGTTGATGTGCCTGACAGTTGTTAACCCACTGAGCCCTGTGACAAACACGATATACAATACATGAAGTGCCCTACGGCCTGCGCTGAAGGATTTTAAAGCCATATCCAGATCTTGTCACCGATGTGTTAGGATTTCTGATCCCTTTGTTCACACAAACCAACTTCAAAAAACTTGTTGGTCAGATACGTGTGAACTGGTCAGAGCCCGTTTCTTCAGAGTCGGGACGCCAAGGCATGAAGTACTTGGTCGAAGGTGTGACGCATTGGTTGCGGTATGCACCCAGTAAAGTCATGGCTTTCGTGCAAAAGGTGGCAACTGACATGTTGGAACCAGATCCAGAGAGATCTAAGAGCTGCATCTTGCAATTGCTGATCGGTCTCGCGCGCTATGGTACCAGACACATCCGGCGTTGCATGGCCCGCAGCGTGCTCCCGTTGCTGCAAAGCGACTCCCGAGAAGTTGGACTGTCACTCCTGGTGTCTTGCAGGTATGACCTGGGCCGCTTTGGAACAGACATTGTGAGTGCTCTTTGTCACTGTGTGAAGGACACAAAGGACCCAGGTGCTTTCTCGCAACTGGAGATGATTCTGCGGCATTCACCTTCTCCTGGAAAGATCTACCCGCAAGCTTGGGTTTTCTTGAATTGCTTCATAAGGCGCGCGCCCAGATCTCTGAAACCAAAAGTGAGACACCTTTGGCTTCGACTCAGTTCAACTTGGTCCCGGAGAGACAGCCCTGAGGATGACTATGAATATTATCCTCGTGGCCCGTTTTGGTTACTGACATACCCAGCGGAAGCCCAACGAATTATACGCGAGCGAAGACGGAATTGTACGAGATGTCCCAAAAAGTATTGTTTGGCACTCAGGAAACAGACCTTAAGCAAAATAGACCAAAATCACAACAAATCGATATTAGCGTCGTTGACTAAGCAGTTTTGTTGCCATATGATAGTTGGAGAATGTTGGAGTCAGCTGAGGCTGCATTTGCCCTTACTGATGCGGCGTGACTTCGCTTCTGTGAAGTCGGTCATCACTACTTCCGAAGTTGGCGCTGCATCAAGGTGCGCACCAGGCTGTGACCTTCATGTCTCAGCCTCTACAGCTAGCAAGGGCCAGAGGTCTATTTGCTCATGTCGAGGCTGACCCAAGTGACCATTCCGATGGCCTTAAGCTGGATGCCCTCCTGACATGTTTCAGAATGTTTTGGATTTGGGTGAGTGGGTGAAAGGGTCAGAGGTGGCACCTTTCTTCCTGAGCCTTGGGGCCTCGCGTGCTAGGATGAGTGTGCTGGTGGCCCTGGTGATTCCAAATGCTCTTTACAGGTCCTGGCCTCACATCACAAGCTTCACAAGCGATGGCTTCGAAAAGCAGAACCATATAGATCAAAGACATCTAGAACATTGTAGAACATTGTAGAACCATGTCAGTATTATAAGCATGATTACTGTAAGTATCACTACAGAGGCGATTCAGCTTCGGGGAGAACCTGTTCAATTGGATGAGGATCCGTTCTGTGCGAATGAACAGTGTTCAGTGTGCAGTGATGGCTGTTCAGTTGTGAAGCAAGAGCAAAGAAGTTAAATCAGAAAGCTTTTAGTTTTCTTGACACGAAGAAGATTGAAGACGTGGAGTGCCATCTCTTTTGGCAGTAGTTGGAAGTTTTAAGCTCACAAGGATGCTCAAGACGCTTTCTTTTATCTTGTGGACATTTGTGAACCAAGGGTCGGACTGGACTGACTTGAGTCAATACTTGTGAATGTTGTGGTCGTTGGGAAGGCTCGAGGGGCTCATGCCATTGAGTTTTGCAGATGCCAGATGTTGTTTGGTGGTGCTTTGGCAGGACAAGACGGACACGGATCCCAATCGATTCCTACCCATCCTTGTGAGTGAGGGAATCAAAGCTTATGGAGGCTCCAATACCACCGGCGTATGCAGCCATGTGTGCAACGCCAAAGGCTACTCCTGGTCTTGGTGCAAGAATGGCTGGTGCGATTGTACTCATGGCGGAGCAAACTATTATGGCAGTCTTTGCTCAGGAGGCACAGCATCCTGTGCGGGGACGTGCTACAGTCGAGGCTGGCAAGACTCACATTGCCTCAACTTCAATAGGTTGTGCCACTGCAGCAACGATTGGTATGAGATGTCGTACACATGCTTCCAGTCCTGATACTGGTAGTGCTACAGCCAGCAAGCACCTGAAGAGTTTAAAGTTTACAGACTCCTTTCGCGTCGGCCGTGCCGTGCAGCAGAAAAGACGAGTACTCATCACTAACTTGGTAAGTTTTGAATGCGTGGCTGCCAGCTCGTCAGCTTGTGGACAATGTCCATTGTGCTTAGTGAATGCAGCAAAATGCAGCTATTTTTACTTACAGTAAGTGGCATATAAAGTTCAATCGGGGCTTCTGATTGGATATTTCTTGCAGAGAATTTGCTTCTCCTGGATTGCTTTGGTTCAAAAATCATGCTTTAGTTTTAGGGCTAGGAAGCGAATTTCCGCTCAAGTTGAGTTGCTTATAGCAGCTACCGCGTTATCGGTTTCAGGTCAGAAGCTCAGATGCGAGCGACCGTTCCCTGGGCTGCAACCTGTTTTGGCTCCTGTGTTTGAGGTGCGAGGATGATGTTATTTTTGCTTCTGGGCAGCATTGAGACATGCTTAGACATAGTGAGATGAGATGTACTGAGAGGTACTGAGACAATCTTGGATCTCCCCGTGACGCTGTGACCTTCATGTCCAGGTTTGCAATGGTGAGCTCCGCCATTGTGGCCCAGGCATGTCTCAGCCTCTACAGCTAGCAAGGGCCAGAGGTCTATTTGCTCATGTCGAGGCTGACCCAAGTGACCATTCCGATGGCCTTAAGCTGGATGCCCTCCTGACATGTTTCAGAATGTTTTGGATTTGGGTGAGTGGGTGAAAGGGTCAGAGGTGGCACCTTTCTTCCTGAGCCTTGGGGCCTTGCGTGCTAGGATGAGTGTGCTGGTGGCCCTGGTGACTCCAAATGCTCATTACAGGTCCTGGCCTCACATCACAAGCTTCACAAGCGATGGCTTCGAAAAGCAGAACCATATAGATCAAAGACATCTAGAACATTGTAGAACATTGTAGAACCATGTCAGTATAAGCATGATTACTGTAAGCATCACTACAGAGGCGATTCAGCTTCGGGGAGAACCTGTTCAATTGGATGAGGATCCGTTCTGTGCGAATGAACAGTGTTCCGTGTGCAGTGATGGGTGTTCAGTTGTGAAGCAAGAGCAAAGAAGTTAAATCAGAAAGCTTTTAGTTTTCTTGACACGAAGAAGATTGAAGACGTGGAGTGCCATCTCTTTTGGCAGTAGTTGGAAGTTTTAAGCTCACAAGGATGCTCAAGACGCTTTCTTTTATCTTGTGGACATTTGTGAACCAAGGGTCGGACTGGACTGACTTGAGTCAATACTTGTGAATGTTGTGGTCGTTGGGAAGGCTCGAGGGGCTCATGCCATTGAGTTTTGCAGATGCCAGATGTTGTTTGGTGGTGCTTTGGCAGGACAAGACGGACACGGATCCCAATCGATTCCTACCCATCCTTGTGAGTGAGGGAATCAAAGCTTATGGAGGCTCCAATACCATCGGCGTATGCAGCCATGTGTGCAACGCCAAAGGCTACTCCTGGTCTTGGTGCAAGAATGGCTGGTGCGATTGTACTCATGGCGGAGCAAACTATTATGGCAGTCTTTGCTCAGGAGGCACAGCATCCTGTGCGGGGACGTGCTACAGTCGAGGCTGGCAAGACTCACATTGCCTCAACTTCAATAGGTTGTGCCACTGCAGCAACGATTGGTATGAGATGTCGTACACATGCTTCCAGTCCTGATACTGGTAGTGCTACAGCCAGCAAGCACCTGAAGAGTTTAAAGTTTACAGACTCCTTTCGCGTCGGCCGTGCCGTGCAGCAGAAAAGACGAGTACTCATCACTAACTTGGTAAGTTTTGAATGCGTGGCTGCCAGCTCGTCAGCTTGTGGACAATGTCCATTGTGCTTAGTGAATGCAGCAAAATGCAGCTATTTTTACTTACAGTAAGTGGCATATAAAGTTCAATCGGTGCTTCTGATTGGATATTTCTTGCAGAGAATTTGCTTCTCCTGGATTGCTTTGGTTCAAAAATCATGCTTTAGTTTTAGGGCTAGGAAGCGAATTTCCGCTCAAGTTGAGTTGCTTAGCAGCTACCGCGTTATCGGTTTCAGGTCAGAAGCTCAGATGCGAGCGACCGTTCCCTGGGCTGCAACCTGTTTTGGCCGACCCTGGAGGTCAAAGACAGAAATCGCTCCCTCCGACCAACGTCCTGAAATTGGACACAGAGCGACGAAAATTCACGGAGAGCTGCAGATGCCAAACTTGCGAAGTCAAGGCAGTCAGAGTCTGTACTTCCACTCCAAAAAAGAACAGATGCGTTGTTTGGATGATTTTGCTTATGTTGTGATGCTTTTTGGTCCAAAGTCCAGCGGGAAACTCCGTGTTCAACAACATCAACCTGCATGAGATTGAATGATTCTGGACGCGAGCGAGATGAGAAGCATACAAGTATTGTAAATATACTTGGATATATACTGGGGTATATTCGGATATACTTGCATCACGGATTGTGCCTCAATTTGGCATGACACACTATGAGACACTTCATGGCGCATGCGAACCCGATCTCAGATCTCAGTGACGTCCGTAATGGTGCTGCTAAGTCGAGACCACCTCATGGCAATGGCTGAAACACTTCCAACAAAGTATCAAGACATCTCAGGACATCTCAAGACCAAATTCAGCATGGTTGGTTTTTATATCTTTATATAACGCTTCACAAACGCAGCCATGGCAGTGGAGCTGCAACATGTGAAATTCGCGATGCTAAATTTCTCGGAAGAAATAAACCCCGTCTTTCGCATGTGCACTCCGATTCCGGCGGAGGTGGATTTTCCAGCTGATCATCTGTTGTGCACCAGTTGTCGCTGAAATCTACGACAGTTTTGCTATAGATTTGCTGAAGTTTGTGGCTGAGTCATGAGACCTCGTGAGACCTCGTGAGAACTCGTGAGACCTCGTGAGATTGCTGCGTGCCAGTTCTGTATTTTGCTCACGCCCTGCAGATGGAGTACCTGAAAAGAGCGATTCTTCGCGATGTGGAGTCCGTTCACCGGCAGGCACGATGCGCATCGATGCGCGCCAGTACCTACAGTGTTTCAGGAATTTTCAGGACCCAAGCACTTCAATGATCTCCTGCCGAATTGCGTTCCAGTAAGAATTAGTTTGCCCCTAGTTTCTTGAAAAATAGCACCGGCATTGAGGGTAAAGCAAAATCAAAGTCAGTTGAAAAACGAGCAAAAACGACCGTATGCCTTCATTCTGTGCGCTAAACAGCAGGAATCGGAGAACATTCCAAATATCTAGACCAAAGGAAGGTTTCATGCACAAAATCGCACAAAAACAAAGAATTCCACCCAGGATCCAGGGGTATATAATGGTATAACAGCAGAAGATTCACCCATCAAAAGTGAGTAGGGCAAACACGTATCGAAGCATTCTCACCATAGTGGCATCATGGAAGATTTTGAGTGCCAGAACACACATCACCAGGGAAAAAAGCCCTCCAAGTCACCTCAAGTGCGATACAGTGCCGAGGGAAAGTGACAAATAGTTTCACATAGTTTCACGTACGCCTGGGCAGGCGAGGCGGCATCGAAGAAAAGCTCAACACTTCTGGGAAGGTCTTTGCGAGGCCTGCTACCCTGCTGGCCAACTGAAGAGGCAGTTGCGGAATGGTGTGGATACTTTTGGCGGAAGGTCGAAAAGGAAAATGGTGTTTTTCCATGTTCTTGCAGTGTTTTTGGCCGAGGCTGTGGAGAGCCTTTTCACATGCTGTAGCAATCCGGTGGTTGAATGAGGCGGGGCTCAAACGTGGAGGGGTCTTGCAAATTGATGCAAATTGCCGTTACACAATGCCAAGTTGTCATCTCTTTCACAAGCAGTTTCTTCCTGTCGTCACAACAAATTGCCCTCCTGAAAACTCAGATGTGCAGAACGAACCATGGTTTTTCACATTTTTTGGATATGTTTACCCGAGGCATAGGCCAAACCCCGGCCCAAATCCATGGAGCATGGGATGCCAGGAGCTCAAAGACTAGCTCAAACCACCTGCGCCAAAGCCAGAGGCGAGTCTGGTGGACTATGGTGGACACGAAAGTGGAACGGCACAGTCCGATCACAGGAGTGTTTCACTACGTTTCACTAGTTCCAGAATTGATTTGAACTGATCACGGGGAAAAGTTGCAGGTCTAAATCTAGACCATCTAAACCATTGAAGCCCCATTGATAATTTGAAAAGAAGAAATCACATATAGTCTGCGAAAATGAGTTGGGGAAAGAACCTGAAACTTACGAAAAAATCAGAGTTTCCCCTTGTGAAAATGGGAAACTTCCAAGAAATCCACCAGAACCCGAGATGAAGAGTTGGGATTTGATGCCCTGGAGGTCTCCGACAGAAACCGCTCCCTCCGGCGTCCTGAAATTGGACACACGCAGCGATGAAAATCACGGAGAGCTGCAGATGCCAAACTTGCGAAGTCAAGGCAGTCAGAGTCTGTACTTCCACTCCAAAAAAGAACAGATCCATTGTTTGGATGATTTTGCTTGTGCTGTGATGCTTTTTGGTCCAAAGTCCAGCGGGAAACTCCGCGTTCAACAACATCAACCTGTATGAGCTTGAATGATCTGGGACGTGAGTGAGATGAGAAGCATACGAGTATTTCAAAAAATACTTGGATATACTTGGGTATACTCGGATATTCTTGCATCACGGATAGTGCCTCAAATTGGCATGACACACTATGAGACACTTCATGGCGCATGCGAACCCGATCTCAGATCTCAGTGACATCCATAAGTGTGCTGCTAAGTCGAGGCCACCTGATGGCAATGGCTGAAACACTTCCAACAAAGTATCTTTGAAGACGTTCAGGTTGATGTTGTTGAACACGGAGTTTCCCGCTGAACCTTTGGACCAAGAGCAAACACAGAAGCAGCAACGCGCAGCAGAAGTTACCAGAAAACACCTTTGATAATCTTTAGTGTCTTATGAGTGGAGTTGCAACTGCCCTGACTTCGCACGAAACAAAACATTCGTCGCTCTTCTGCCTTGTTTTCCTTCGGCCGGTTTGGGTTTGTGGCGTTATGTGGCGTCCGATTTCAAGACTTTCAACAGAGGGAGAGTCTTCGAGTCTTCTCAGTCAAAGGACACGCCGGGCCTATTCAATCCTCAGAAGAGTCTCTTCCTTGGAATCCCAAGAGTTCACATTCCACTGTCCTGGAAGCTTCTGCCTTGAAAGATGTTGAAAGCGTAGAATCCAAGGTCCAAGGTGGCTGTTGGTTGGCACCAGGCCGCACCACGGCAGTGAAAAGCACAACAGCTCCTCTATGCTCCTCTGCATCTCAAATGTAGTTCCAGAGAGCCTTGTACTTCTACGGATTTCAGCGACATGACAAGTGCACCCACAAGAAATTATCAGCTGGAAAACCCACCTCAGCTCTGCTCCATGTGGCAAGGCGCCAAAGAAAAACACATCACGGCAGTGGAGCTCGTGAACTTTGCGATGCTCAATTTTTCGGAAGAAATAAATCCGGTCTTTCGCAGATGCGAAAAACTGGATTCATTTCCTCTGAGAATTAGCAGCCAACTGCAGCTTCACCATCTTCACCTGCTCAGCCCTGACCTCAGCGAGATGAGATCACATGCAGCGAGATGAGAAGCATACAACTATTGCAAATATACTTGGATATATACTGGGGTATATTCGGATATACTTGGATCACAGAGTCACACTTTGACACACTTCAGACATATGAACCCGATCTCAGATCTCAGTGACATCCATAAGTGTGCTGCTAAGTCGAGGCCACCTGATGGCAATGGCTCAAACACTTCCAACAAAGTATCTTTGAAGACGTTGAGGTCAGGGCTGAGCAGGTGAAGATGGTGAAGCTGCAGTTGGTTGCTAATTCTCAGAGGAAATGAATCCAGTCTTTCGCATCTGCGAAAGACCGGATTTATTTCTTCCGAAAAATTGAGCATCGCAAAGTTCACGAGCTCCACTGCCGTGATGTGTTTTTCTTTGGCGCCTTGCCACATGGAGCAGAGCTGAGGTGGGTTTTCCAGCTGATAATTTCTTGTGGGTGCACTTGTCATGTCGCTGAAATCCGTAGAAGTACAAGGCTCTCTGGAACTACATTTGAGATGCAGAGGAGCATAGAGGAGCTGTTGTGCTTTTCACTGCCGTGGTGCGGCCTGGTGCCAACCAACAGTCACTTTGGACCTTGGATCCTGCGCTTTCAACCACTTTCAAGGCAGAAGCTTCCAGGACAGTGGAATGTGAACTCTTGGGATTCCAAGGAAGAGACTCTTCTGAGGATTGAATAGGCCCGGCGTGTCCTTTGACTGAGAAGACTCGAAGACTCTCCCTCTGTTGAAAGTCTTGAAATCGGACGCCACATAACGCCACAAACCCAAACCGGCCGAAGGAAAACAAGGCAGAAGAGCGACGAATGTTTTGTTTCGTGCGAAGTCAGGGCAGTTGCAACTCCACTCATAAGACACTAAAGATTATCAAAGGTGTTTTCTGGTAACTTCTGCTGCGCGTTGCTGCTTCTGTGGTGCTGTGATGCTTTTTGGTCCAAAGTTCAGCGGGAAACTCCGTGTTCAACAACATCAACCTGTATGAGATTGAATGATCCTGGACGTGAGAGAGATGAGATCACATGCAGCGAGATGAGAAGCATACAACTATGGCAAATATACTTGGATCACAGAGTCACACTTTGACACACTTCA